CTGTTGTCACGCCGTGGTCTTGCTGGTTGTCCTACCATGGTTTTACTTGGTGGGAGATGCCAGGACTGGCTGCTGCTCCAGCCGAGCAGTCCTGCAGGCTGCATCTCTGGGAGCCTCTGCTCCTCCCTCCTGAAATTTAGGCTTCATTTAGCATGTAGGTGGAGTGACTATTTTTGCACTGAACATTTGCATTTGTGAATATTCACATTTTCCAAGCAAAGACCGATTAGTGCTTCGAAACAGGCCTGGTCTCACCCACTAAGCTCGTGCACCCGGATGAAAGCCTCCACCAAGGCTGCAACGGCGTGTGGTCTGCCTGGGTCTGCCCAGCTCCACCTTTTGCTTTTGCCAACCACAAAGTGCGTTTGCAAGATGCGTTGTGAGCTGGGTGCTGGTGAAGAGCCGGCTGTGGCAGCACCTCGTGGCCTGGGCCAGGGGATTGCCCCCAGCTCCCCCCCCCACCAGCAGCACTGCATCCAGCCCGAAAGTGTCCGCGTTTCCACAGGGAGAGCAGACAGCATTTTGAGATGCTGGAATCTGAACATCTTTCTTGAATGCTGGCTGGGCTGAATGTCATTTAAAGCCTCGGGATAACTTGTTAGTCAATTCTATTACCTCCCCTACCAATATCACATAAGCACAGAGAAGTGAACGCAATGAAACAACCTTCAAGCCCCAGAGAGCTCCTGCCCGGTGTACAGGCTCCTCCTGCCCCTCCACAGGTCCCCCCACACCCAGGGAGCACCCAGGCCCCCCCAGCTGCCCCCAGTGAGCAGGGCAGGAGTTAGTTCATGCATTTGCCTTGGCTGAAGAGCAGCGAGCCCAGCAGCCTGGCAGAGAAACGCAGCAGAAATCATCCAGCACTATGTAGGTCAACCCTGGCAGCTGCGAAAAAATAATGTACCAGGGAATGCGGGAGAGAGCGAGGGGGAGCTTCAGATTTAACTGAAGAGGATGGATGGACAGACAGACACAGAGATAGGTGGGGTAGTGTGGACATCATTAACCCTCCTGACGGGCACTCTCAATTTACACCACATGTATGAGGTACCAGACTAGAAACATGCATCAGTTACCTTATCAGAATATATAGACATGCGTGTTGTCAGACCAATGACAGGGATCCTGTAGAAGCCAGCTGTGTATGATACGGGTGTTGGTGTTAGGTGATCGTTGGGAGCAGGAGGGTGACTAACTAATATTGCATAGACCTGTAGGACAGGATACATGACACAAACATTATTTCACAGGAGCACATCGGCCATCGAGTGTGATTATTTTCCTTTCCTGCAAAATTAAACAGTCCCACGTTATCATGATAACGGCGTTCAAAGACTGGGGAACAGCGAAGCGAGGGATGCGCTGGCGAGCAAGGGGTGCTGTGCCGTGGCAAGGGCTGCAGCCCGCACGGAGGTGATGGGTCTGCTCAGGGTTATATCTTAATGGAAATGCCGTGCCTAGCTGCTCCGCTTGCTAAACTAATAACTTTCATGGATTACAGATTAAAGGGAAACATCTCCCTTACAGTCACACTGTGTAATGCGATTTCTTTAACCACACATTTAATACTCGGTTGTAATTCCCCTCTGAGGACTATTACAAACAAAGTGGTCAGCTGGGACTCCGAGCAGGAGAAGGAGCACAGAGCCTTGGAGCACATCAGCCATCTGGCCCTGAGCACGCAGGGAAATGAGAAATCTGGGGGGGTGTCGGGGGGGCAGGAGCTGGGATCTGCCTGCAGCACGCCAGGGTGATGGGGCACGGGGTGTCTGGGTTAATCCAAAATGGGGAGGGAGGATCTCGGCTGTTATTACAGGGCTGGGATTTTGGTCTCCAGCAGGATCCTATTTTGTGTCAAATGGGGAGGAAGGAGCTGGGTAACCCCTGGGGGATCCTTTGTTACGCTACTGCCCTTTCCAAGCACAAGGAATGTCCCCAGCTGGTGACAGATCTCCAGCTAGGGCGAATCAGTGCAAGGACTTTGGTGTCAGGGAGGAAATAACACTTCCTCCTCCAAGCATCTGCCGGCTTGCTGGGACAGGAGAGGAGGATGAAGGATGTCTGGGGAAGGGGACCTGGAGACTGAGTGGGGTGGGAAGGAGGGAAGATCCTGCCTGGTGCTGGGTGGGAGCAAGCTGAGGGTGTGGAGCAAGCTGGGGCAGGGGTTGGAGACCCTGTTCTGGGAGAAGGGACGAATTACTGGGGAAGGGGCTGGGGACGTCACCTGGGGAGGAAGGAGTACCCTGCGCAGAGATGCCCGGTGCTGTGCTGACACGAGGGGTGGGCAAGGACCTGGTCCCAGCAGGGCTGGGGCATGGGCCTTGGGGCACTGGGGGGAGAGGCTGGGGGCTGTGTGGGGCGAGGGCTGTGCTGTGCCGCACAGCAGCTGACCGACAGGAGCCATTTTGCACGCACAGGCTCCCAGCCCCTCCTCTGCCTTGCAGCCCCCAGCTTGGGCACAGCGCCAGCAAGCGAGGACTGAGTGTGGCTGTGCCCCACGCTGGGGCCGTGGGGCTGGGAGAACCCCTGCATGGCCACCCCCAGCACCCACAGCCCCCAGCACCCACAGTCCCCTCTGCACCCTGGCTTAGCTGGCCCCTGCATCCCACTGCTCATGCAGAGACATGCCAGCTCCTGCAGTCCTGCACTGGCCCAGGGCTCCGTGGGGTTTGCCACGGGGACAAGGCTTAGAGGTGGCATGGGCACAAGCATCCATCAGCTGGGTGGCTTAAATGGAGCCTCGGCTCAGCGAGGGACCTGACTGAGCCTTCTCCTTGCTCCCTGCCAGGCAGTGGGTATCTTTTACAGCCCGCACAGCGCTTCCTGCCCGTGCCTGCCATCATCCCCAGGGATGTCTCCAGTCATCCTCCATCTCCACATGGGGAAGCTGAGCTGTGAATATGACAGCTCTGCTCTGCTGTGCACCTCTGGCCCCTCCAGCTCCCTCCCCCATCGCTGCTTTGTGTGTGCCTGGGTGCATATATGCATTCTGGTGTGCCTGTAGGGGTGTGCGAGCCTCCATGGCGTGGGCATTCATACGATTTGCGTGCGTGTTTGTACCTATGCAAGGGGCCATGTACACCTTTTGCATGTGCATGCGTGTGTTTGAGGTGGAGGTGGGTTGGTACCTGATGGCCCCGAGTGGGGGGAATGGGGCTGATTAGCTGGGCTCAACACCCAGAGCATACACAGGACAGATGGAGGGGCTGGGCCACAGGGTGCCCAGGGCTCCCAAGCTGCACCCACCACCACTGCAGATTCGGACTGCTCCCTTGTGTGCACTCAGAGTGACCCATGCACACAGGAGGGAGGCGCTTGCTGTGCTTGTGTGTGCAGGCGTGCACACACAGAGAGCACTGTGTGCATGCCCACAGCTCTCCGTGTCTGTGCGGGTGTCCATGTGTCTGTAACCTCCATGGGTGTGTGCCCGTGTCTCCACTGTGTGCATGGCAGCGGGTGTGCTCGTGTGCCTGCTTCATACATTCTGTGGTGCTGGGGCCATGGTGTGGTGTGCAGTGGTGGGTGTGCAACTGTGGTGTGCAGTCATTCAAGTGGATGAGCTGGCGGTGTGTGCTTGTACTGCATACAGTGGGGTGTGTTTGTGTGGCAGTATGTGTGTGTGTGCACCTGGGGCAGTGTGTGCTCATGTGTGTGTGTGGCATAGCATGTGTGCACCAGCGTGTCTGAACGCTGACACAAGTGTAGACATGCAGTGTTCTCTGTGTGTGCCCGTGTTCATACAGTGTGCACATGGGGTGTGTGTGTGCATGCAGCATGGCCGCCGGGCACTCCCGCAGCGATATGTGAGCACACAGCATGTGTGCGGGCATGGTGCTCCCCATGCCCACCTCTGCCCACAGGGAGTGGGTGCCCATGTGTGCACCCAGCACATGCACATGCAGCTCTGTGTGTGCCCATGGCCATGCATGTCTGAGCATGGTGTATGTGTGCATGCATGTTGCTGTCTGCACGCATGGTGTCAGGTGGGCATGCCTGCACACCCGCTCTGTGTGCAGGGGCCCGTGTGTGCCCCGGGATGTGTGTGAGCCCCTGTGCACCCCCGGGTGTGTGCAGGGACCTGTGTGTGCCCCGGGGTGTGTGCGGGGGCCCGTGTGCTCCCCGCGGTGTGTGCGGGGGCCGAGCACGCAGCCCGGCC